AAAAAAAAAAAAAAAAGTCTCACGAATGTTAATGCACATAAACAAAAACCCACCAGGACACTGCCAGTGAGACCCTCCAGAAGGTCCAGCAGCTTCCTCCCGTCTCTCAAATCGGTGAACATGTCTTTGATGGGCGTCTTCCCTGTCTGGAAACACCACAATTTCTGCATTAGATTTATCATAAGACTGGATTAGAACAGTCAATACCAGTGATAAGAGGCCCTGAGTGTGGCTGCAGCTTTGGAGAGACAGGCATTTACACATAATTCAAACACTTCAAGCGCCACTGAGAATAAGCTCACATGTCACGGTGGTATGCAGAAAGAAGAAGAGAAAGTTTGGCACATTGTAACAACCAGTATTAAAGGCACAGACAGGCAACAAATCTGAAACTATCCAAATGAAACAAGTGTAAGAGTGAAACTCAAAGTATTTAGGAGAAAACAGTGTGAGGACAGTAATTAGCTCAGGTAGACCAACTAGAAAAAGAAAAAGAAAAAAACCACACACAGACTATAAGCGCTCTGACATAAACTGAAAGACATTAACATTAACCTTTTTTAATTTATTATTTCGTTTTTAGCTTAAGAAATAATAGAAACAATAGTATGGCAGCGCTGGTATCATGGATGGGTCTTGAGGTCACTGTGCCCCCTGAGCTTTAGTCTAATGATGCAGCTTGGTAATGAAAAGGTTAAACACCCACTTCGCTGATAAGTTGCTGCAGCTCAAGTTCAAGTTAATTATTCAGTTAACAGTTGTTTAGAAGACTAACTCTGGAGCAGGTCTATGCAGGTCAGACTGTGGGAAGTACCCCTCATGTCTCTTTGGCACAAGAAAGATGTCATCCATCAGTTTGTGCAGCTGCACTGTATGGAAAAAAAAGTACTGGGCCACACCTGTTAATCTTCAGTCTCATTGGTGTATAAAATCAAGCACCTAGACATCCAGTCTATCTTTAAAAACTTTTGTGCAAGAATGGTCATTTAAAGAGCTCACTGCATTTGAGTGTAGTACTGTAACAGGAAGCCAACATTACCAACATTGGGAAATTTTTCTCTCCTAGATATTCCACGATCAACTGGAAGTGGTATTATTGCAAAGAGGAAGTGTTTAGGAACCACACAGCAATACAGACAACGCAAATTTACAGAGTGGGATTGCTGAGTGCTTAGTCGCATAGTACGAAAAAGGCGCAAATGCTCTGCTGACTCAGTAACTGCAGATTTAACATTTTACAACATTATTAGGCAGATGAAGATTTTTTTGTACTATGAGGAAAAAAGGACAGTGCTTGGCATCCATTTGAAAATGTTTGGCTCTAATGTTTCACATTACCTTGGAGAATTGTGCATTTATCCATTTGGTGAACGTTTTCTTCTGCACTGCGTCGTGCTCATCTGTGCAGGAAAAGAAAAAAGAGAAGAATTGATTGTCAAGAACATGAACAGGTGGATCAAAAGTGACGTCAGGTACAGTCAGCCTTTTAAAAGAAGCAGCGAACATTGTTACAACTTGATGTCCATTTCCACCTGCTTTTTCAGGGAGCGACTTGATCTCGGCACAAATTAACTTACACTGATGTGGTAAATGGTAATTACAGCCTGAGGCTTTTCGACTTAAAAGCATCCCGATCAATGTGGCTGGAACATCAGAAAATTACCAGAACAAAATGAGGGGTATTTTTTAACATGCGTACCAAATGTCAACAGGTCCACGGTGTGACAAGTAAAGCCAACAAACCTTTTTGCACATGTGCGCACACCCTTGTCCATTTATAATGTTCCCCTGAATCCAACTGTACAAATATTTCACATTCTCTTCCCACTTGACTCCCTCCCTTCCTGCGCCTCCTTTATTCTCTCCAACATGGCTCTCTAATAAGGCCTCATTGTGTGACAGGCGGAGGGTCAGCTGCTTTGATGTGCCAGGGCGATGGCTGGCTCCTGTAATGGATCAGAGTAGCTCACACAAAGCCTTGGACTTCTCTTGAGAATTTATTTCAGTTTTACTTAGGCTTCTTTCTAATGTGCCGTTTCTATGAACTCTAAAATAACTAATCCATTGAGTTCTTAGTCAATTTCAGTGTAACGACCAAGGAAACGGGTAAAAAGACGTATTCAAATCTGCCTCAAAACACTCTGGCTGAGGTCTTGATCAGACTGTAATCTAAGGTTAGGAAAGCTGTTAAAGTGCCTTATGTGTGTGGGGGTCAGGTCAACCAGCAGCTGTGCAAAGCACCATGAAGTGAACAAAAGGTCAAAAGGTTAACATCACCAGCCTCAGCACTGGTTGGCTTCTCTGTTTGGGATGTGTAGAGTGTGTGTGTTTGTGTAGCGGCTGGCTGGGTGACAAACTGCATAAAAACAAGTGCATGGTAAGAGTAGAGTAGAAGCAGGTGAAACAGGTGAACAGGTGACAGGACTGGATAAACAGTGGTAGCAGAGAGGGTTTCTCCTCTGACTTTCCCCAAATCGGTGATCTAAAAGACCTTAAAGACCAAATACGTAAGGGCAGATGAGGGAAACGGACAATAGTTTTATAATATGCATTTCTTCAGTAATGCCACAGGATAGGGTGAGGTAGCAAGAGACTAGGACTAGTAAGCGTATGACGAAACAGGCAACTGGCTAGGTTAGATTTTGAGGTGGGGACCAAACCAGAAGAGGCTTGTTGCCTAGACTGGTATACGCTTGAACTTTGCTATCTTTGTGTCATTGTCTTTAGTGCATCGAATCACAGACTGCTATAGAAACACCTCCCAAGTGTTGGTTGAACCGTCTTCCATATAAATTTGAGGGGTTTCTTTTCCTTTTTTGTATTATTCTTAAAGAAAAGAAGACAGCTGATGGAAGGGTTTAATGAAGATGATGACAGAAAAAGGATACATGAGACAAAGAAGGTTTCATGTTGAAAAACAAAATGACAAAATGGTTGGCACCCAGTAACAGATAATGATCAATTACAGTAGATAACTTACAGGTGGTTAAACATGTTCTGACAAGGAGAACAGACAAGGAAAGGGATGAAAGAAAAAATAGGTGGACCACCAGACAAAACCAATGCTGGGGGGGTGGGGGGGTGGGGGGCAGCAGAGTGGGCCAAAAATACTAGAGAAAGGCAGCCAAAGGGGGAGGAATCACTGGCAAGAACATTGAGAAAATAGCTCACAAGGAGCAAAGACAGGTATGCTTTCAACACAATATCAATTTTCCTTTTATAAAAAGGCCCATGCACAGGCCTCCTGTTCTTACAGCTTTATTGGCACCCTGTAGAGGCCCCTGGGGAGAGGGTCCCTTGGGGTTCAGGTCTCCTAGGCTCTCTACCTTACCATCTTCATAGGACAATACACTCGATTCATACACAATGCTCCCCCTCAATCTGTCTGCTGCTCCTACTCGCTGCAGCACAGGAATGCCTCGCTGCAGGA